GAGGAAGCCACTGAAGGAAGAGCGCAGCAGCCGAACTGCACATGTGTGCGCATGCGCAGTTTGGCCGGGAGCCTGGATTGCTCCAGACGACGGGCGCGCTGGCGATCCCACGGCCGCGCTTGATGCGGCGTTCCTGGTAAGTCCTCCTCTGTAGGAGGTTCTTTTTTGCAGCGGGTTTTCCGGCTTTAGGGACGGATCGGGGACGGGTGCGCGCCGCTTCCCAGATGTTGCAGTGAGATCGCGCCCGTTTGCTGCGCCCCCGATCCGTCCCTCTCCCGGGCCAAAACCTTCCGTGTGACCGGGACCTCTGGATTGCAGCCTATAGACTCTAAGTTGAGAATTCCATTGCAGTATTCCATTCTGGGGTTTTGTCTATTCGAACCGATCCAAGTTTAGGAAGATACCACATACAAAATAGATAAAGGTGGCATCTCTCTCTCTCTCTCTCTCTCTCTCTCTCTCTCTCTCACACACACACACACACACACACACTGATCCTAATGGCACAGGTTAGCTTATTTTCCCATAGTTCCTTTCATTCTTTTTACTCATACTAATTTAATTAGCCTTTGCCAAAACCAAACATCTTATCAAACACTGCTGCTCAAAGCTGGAAAATATATGAACCATAACAAAATATGCTATGAACTCTTGAGTTCCAAGTACTTTAGGTACTGAACCATATGTGATGCAAGGAAGTTCACTTATTCCTCTTTTTTATATTGTAAAAGAAGAACTGCAGTTTTTAGTTACACTTTTATTCACCGACTGTAACTTCAGCCCTTACAGCTTTTTTGTTTGTTTCTTTTGTGAGGGCGGGAGATATTACTCACCTCGGGGTGATCTAGCAGGAGAGTAGTAAGGTATGGGAAGACATTGCCTGCCTCTAAACGTCTGCAGAACAAAATTCTGAAATTTTGTAGAATTTCTCTTTGGCCCCTCCTCTCTGAATTTCTCTTTTGATCACAATGGAATTGACTGGAAACATACTCCAAATTCCTAAAAAGAGGGAAAGGAACGTAATTCAGAGGGAAACTAGGTAAAGAGAATTGGGTAGAGACTTTTAAGAGAATTCCTATTAAGAATGCTGCCCCCCAAACTGCTGTTATTTCTCCTGAGGACTTCTTTTCTTTTCGGGGGGGGGGGCATTTTTACATTTGTGTGTCACCTGTGCCTGGAAGTCATGGCAACCTCTGACGACTTCTCCTGGGGCACAAAGGACATTCAGAGAAGTATCTTGATAGCCTGTCTCTGCCGGCCGGCCCTGGTATTCTCTGGAGGTCTCCCATCCAAATAGTTGTCAGGGTTGGCCCTGCTTAGCTTCTGACATCTGACGAGATCAGGCTTGCCTGGGCTATCGAGGTCAGGGCTTCTGAGGACTTCTTTTCAATAAATGAAATTATGGCCCCGGTCACACGGCAAAGTTGCCATGGGGGAGGC